TTCCCGCTTACTGTGTTTTGTTTCCTAAGAGAGTCATTTAGACTTCCTACATGACAGTCTCAGCAAAGGGCACTTGCTGGTGTGAACCACAACTGCTGGGGTCCTGCCGACGACTGGCAGTCACCCCGTCTCTCTGCCAACTCGGGCCCGCTGCCCTGGGATAGCTGACCTTCCAGGGGCAGGCCCACGTAAGGACCATGGCGTTTCGGGCACCCGTCCCCACTTCGGCCACACCATGGCCCGCTCGCAGGGTTAGAAACATGCCAGAGTGGGACATGTGGCTGACACAAGGTATAAATGTGTACACTTTACAGTGTAAAGGCCACATTAGTGACGAGCAGATGGGCGGCCCCCAGCCCCGTGGGTTCACTGCTGCCCCTGGCCGTGAGGGCCCTGGCTCTGGCAGCGGGACTGGGGCTCACCCCAGGGCCTCCTCATAAACCTGAGACACTTCCCATGCTGGCCCTCACGTGCCAACGGTCTTCCCAATGACCCCAGTGCCTTCACAGGCCACGGGGCCCAGGTCTCCGTCCTCACCCCCTCCTCCTGCCCCCCTGCAGCTCCACGCTGGCCCTCCGGCTGGCCCCTGGGATGTCCCCACACAGTCCCAGGCTGGCTCTGACCCCTCAGACCTCAGTGCCCGACACGCCCCACCCTGGCCTTTAGGATCTTAGGCAGGGGCAGTGGGTCCGGGGTGGGGGTGGGTGTGTGGCCCTCGCTGGCCCGGGGAGAGCAGTCTGCCCCGCCCCGCCCCCGGCCCTACCTAGCTCCTTGCACAGCGTCTTGATGCAGCTCGGGGGGTCCCTCTTCTGGTGCAGGCCACCCACACATCGGCTCCTCCGGAGCTCAGCCATCCCGCTGGCCGCCTTAAGGTGTCCGGGGCTCACGGCCGAGGGAGGGGCCCCGGGGCCCAGCGGTGCCTCCTGTGTGCGGCCGTGGTGTCCTCCTCCAACCTCCTTGCCTTCGGACCACGGGAAAGAAGGACGCTGGCTCTCACGCAGCTCTCAGATGGAGCGCATGGCTTCCACCCCCTCCACGGGGAGCTGCCCTTGTGTTCCCGGGCCCTGCTGCTAGGTGGCCCCTGTGACATCACTGCACAGGCAGAGGCCAGCCCGCTGGCCCTTCCCGTGGCCCTAGGTCGGAGTGGCCTCCTCCCAGGGCCTCCTGCCTCTCAGCAGAGACGGCAAAGGGCCAGGCGGCCGGGTGCCTTCATGCGGCTCTGCAGGCTCTGGTGTTGGGTCTGCTGAGCCTTCAGGCGAATCTCTCAATTCCTAGCAGGGACGAAGGACTCGGAGGTCGCGGCGGGGACCCCACTTGGCGGCCTGGGCCCTGGGTGGCGTCCTGCGTCCTCCCCCCTCCAGACGAGGGGAGATTCACGCAAACGCAGCTTCAGAGGGCAGCCGTCTGCGGACAGGTACCTCTGAACTGTGCCGAGGAAACCCTTCTCTGCATTTTCAGTCGAGCTGTTTGCTGACACTGCCGTGACCAAAGGCTCGCTCGGGCGGCTTCCACAGTAGACATTCGCTTTCTGGGTCAGGAGCCCGGAGGTCTGAGGTCCAGGCGTGGGCAGGGCTGGCCTCCTGAGGCTTCTCTCCTCGGCGTGTAGATGCCCGTCTCCTCCCTGTGTCCTCACGGGGTCGTCCTCTGTGCGTCTGTGTCCTGACCTCCTCTTCTTGAAAGGACAGCAGTCAGACTGGATCAGGGCCACCCTAGTGACCTCATGTAACCTTAATCACCTCTTTAGGGGCCCATCTCCAAAGGCTGTCACTTTCTGAGGTCCTGGGGACCAGGACTTCTCACATGAATTTTGGGGTGACACAGTTCAGCCTATAACACAGCCTAACAGAAAGTTTCTGATAATCTATTCAACACGATTTTTTCTTCTCATCTGGGACCACGGGGGACAAATCAGAGCAGGTGTTTCCTGAGCACCCAGCCGACAGCACCAGGTGTGTCATAAATGTTCCGAACGAAGTAAAAGTGACGAGCTCCCTTTTCCCACATGCACTTCCACTCCCTAAACAAGCTCACAGCATCTTAGCTCCCGGAGGCCTCGGGTCCGCCAGCCAGGGGCCGCCCTGGAGGCTGCTCAGAGGCTCTGTGCCTCGGGGGGGACACGGATGGAGGCGGACAGCTGAACCAGCTCCCTCTTGAGGTAACAGGTGGTCTGGAGAAAGTCAGTGGGCACAGACTGGGGTCGCAAAAGATTGGGGTCCTAGGAGTGGGGCTTTGGGTCCTCATTCTCCCAGGTGTTCTCTTTTCAGTCCTCCCACGTACCCTGACGTGGGCAGAGCTCGTTACCTGCCCCTGCCAGTCCCAACTCTCTCCACTGGGCCTGGTCCTGCGTGTGAATCTGCGTTGCCCAGGCCCCTGGGAGCCGCCCTGTGGCCCTGCCGTGGATGCTCGTGTTTGGGGCGTCTGAACCCCTTGGCCCCCACCCAGAGCAGACAGGGGGAGCTGGAGAGCAGCAGAACAGCACTTTCCTCCCCAGTCCACGTGCACCTGGGAAGGACGCTCATCACTACTGTCCTCAGTTCAGGGCTGCGGAACCCCTGAAGGCCTGACCCGGCTTCCCCAGAGCCAGATCCCACCCCCTCCCCCCATGACTCTCTCATACCAGGCGACCGACCGGGGCTGGAAGTAAAAAGACAACTGAGTGGAAACCAAATGGAGAAAAGACAGGAGAAAGGAGATGAGAAGCCGCATTTTAACCCGGGGGGCGGGGCGGGTCCCCCATATTGTGCATCCAGCTCCTTCCCCGCCCTTTCGAAGGAGAGCAGCCATATCTGCTCAACGGCACTGAGCTCCGTCTCCCCTCGGGCCACCGGCCTCCTGTCCCCCCTCCCTCGGGCACTGACCTGTGCCTGGCCCTCGAACACACACCCCGCTGCTGAGCCCTCGGAGACACGAGGGGCCCTGCCTTTCCCACCGTCCTTGAGTTTGATGCCGTCTCTGTCCGCCTGAGGTCCCCATGGCCCTCACAGGGCCCCACTCCACACCTTTCCATCCCAGAAGCATTGTGGTTTCCAGCACAACCCAAAGCCCCACAACTGGACCTCACCTGTCGTCATCCAAGGAGCCTCACCTGTCGTCCTGGGGGCTTCACCTATCATCATAGGGACCTCACCTGTCATCAGTCACCTCACCTGTCGTCAGGGGACCATACTTGTCATCAGGAGGATCCCACCTGTTGCCAGAGGGACCACAGCTGTCATCAGAAGCACCTCACCTGTCATCACGGGGACCCCACCTGTCGTCAAATGGACATCTCCTGTCATCAGGGGTACCACACCTGTTGTCAGAGGGAACTCACCTGTCGTCAGAGGGGCCACACCTGTCATCAGGGGGACCTCACCTGTTGTCTGAGGGACCTCATCTGTCATCAGGGGGACCACACCTGTCATCAGGAGGATCACACCTGTCATCAGAGGGACCTCACGTGTAGTTAGGGGGACCCCACCTGTTGTCGGGGGACCAAACCTGTTGTCAGGTGGATCCCACATGTCGTCAAAGGGACCTCACCTGTCACCATAGGTACCACATCTGTCGTCAGGGGGATCACACCTGTCACTAGCAGGAACCACACCTGTTGCTAGGGGGACCTCACCTGTCATAGAGGACCTCACCTGTCACTAGGGGGATCACACTTGTTGTAAGGGGGACCTGTCCTATCATCAGGGGGACACCCTCTATCATCAGAGGGACCACATTTGTTGTCAAGGTACCTCACCTGTCATCACAGGTATGTCGTTCATCTCCCTCCTGCCCCACTCCACCGCACACCCCCATCTCCATGTGTGCATTATCAGTGGGTGCTCATGTGAAACCAAGCCAGTCTCAGAAAGAATAAAAGGTCTGTTTTAATTGGCCAGTAAAATACATCACAAATCTTTAGTATCTTACAAACAGAAACATTAAATTACAAATCCATATTAAAAACTGCAGTTTGGAGCAGCCTAACAGCTGCGTATACGGAGCTTTTTTTTTTTGCAACATTTTCCTCCCCCATTTTTGCGACAACAGGCAATGTCACTATCTGCCATCTAGATCTCGAGTCTGAACAACAGCCGAGGCTTTCGGGGGAGTCAGCAGAAGCTCATCAGGACCCCCAGCCCCAAAAGCACAGCAGCCCTGGCAGCCCCCAGGGCCTCAGAGACAGCGCGCTCTGCCGCTGGCCCGGCGTCCGCTCCCAAGCCTCCCAGCGCGGGCCCAGATTTCCCCCTGCCTCCCTCGTTCTCCCTCGGGGACCTTTACTTGGCTGCCATGAGACACAACCTTTTCTGTCCCTGCCATGAGACACAACCTTTTCAACCCTTTCTGTCCCTTTTCTGTCGTCTGGAGGCACATAGAGGCCTGGATGTTCTGAGTTACTTTATATCAAAGAGCTAATTAAAAACAGTCCTTTAAAAACATTAAGAAAAACAGCTTGAAAATAATGCACATTTCTATTTTTACAACCTTCCCCAAACTCCCACCAGGGTGGCAAACGTGGATTCTACTTTTAGCCCCACTGACAGCAAACAACACAACTTTGCTTGACGTGGCGGCTGCGTGGACGCATATCAGCAGCAGGCAGGGGGGCTCCCACCTCGGGAACGAAGGCTGGGACCCCTAGGAAATCTCTCTGCAAAAGGACCCCGTGTCCCCAAAGAGCGAGGGCATCCTCAAACTGGGATCTCCGTGCGGTTCCGACCCTCTGGCCAGGACCGATACAAACGTACAAACGTCAAAAGCTGAAACCAGGAGGCTTCGTGCTGGTGGCTGCCCAGACATCTGGCTCACAGGAGAATAACGCTCACAACATCCCTGCTGAGTCGAAGCAGAACGTTAGTGCCGGAAGGCTCCACGGTGCGGGCGCCACAGACCGGCAGAGACGACCGTGCACGCGGCACAGGGCACACGCTCCGCAGGCCGCGGTGTCGCTGGCACCCTGTTCCCGAAAGGCCAGCTCAGGTCGCCTGCCACTGGCGTGATCAAGTGCACAGCCACCCGGAAATGGCCCGGGAGCCTCAGAAGTTCACAAGCTCGACCCCTGTCGGCTTGCAAGCTGAGGAGCTGCCGTCTGGTCTGGTGTTCTCTCCTTCCCGGGCACGGGCTCACCCGGCGCAGCTCAGGGCACCATCCTGGGAGAGGGGGTCCCGCGGGCTTCACATGGAATGGGCGGGGGTCTCAGACTGCTGCCTGATGTAGCTTTGGAAGCTCTTGTCTCCGATGGGGTGCTCCCTGCGGGGGTGTAGGGAGAGCAGCGTGAGCGTGGGCCGCCCTGTGGCTGGTGCGCCTCTGAACTGCCATCGCCTGTTTTTTTTTTTTTTTT